GGAGGAGGGGGAGGAGGAGGAAGAGGAGGAGGAGGAGGAGGAGCAGGAGCAAACACAGAGGAGGGCCGAAAGCCCCCCACATCCACCCAGTGGCGCCTCTGGCGGCGTCACCCGCCCGCCAGCCCACGTCAGGGGTGGCCCGCCCGCCCGCGTCAGGGCCCCTCCGCCCTCTGCCGCCGCTTCGCGGCCTCGGTTTACCCATCGGCCTCCTAGGGGGCTGGGAGGCCGCAGCCGCGCGAACGCGGCACCATTCGCCCACGTCTCCGCCCGACCCCAGACCTGCGATGTCATGGTTTTCCTTACGAGTGTTTCGCCAGAGGGTTCGAACAGAGGTTTGAAAAGAGCATAGAAAAGTCCCACTGCATTGGGGACGGGAAGCCCTGGACCGCCCAGTCCGTCAGTCATTTCGCTCGAGGCCTCCTCACAGTTTATTCAAGAGTCGTACTCGTGCCCCAGTGGCAGCTGTTTTTTTGTTCTGGACGGCTACGATCCTTGGTAAAACAGGCGCTAAGGTCCAGATGGCCGCGCCCTCATCTTTATCCTGGCTCTGTAGTCCTGGCTGTCTCACCCCCTATCCCTCGACCCGCGTCTTCACCTTTGCTGCTATCAGGGTGCTTTGCTGAGGTATTGAAAACGCCCCCCCCCCCCGAGATTCTCGACCCTTTCCCCAGGGCGGCTTTTCATCTCGCGCCGCTTTTCTTGCCGTCCGGGGCCCGGCGAGGGCCCCCTGAGGCCGAAAGCGGCCAAAACCTTCCCGCCGTTTTTTTTGTGTCTAAACGTCGGGCTGGGCTAGGACGAGGATAAATCCGTTCCAGAGCGTTTCGGAACGCTCTCAGAGCGTTGCGGATCGCTCTGAGAAGGCCGCGACGCCCGAGACATCCTGCAGAGCCGCTGTATCTCAGATACTCTCGATTTATCTTCCCCCGATTTTATCCTCGTCCTGGCTTCGTCGTACGCGACCGTGTCTGGGACCCCACACCTGACTCGTATGTAGCTCTCAAGCCCGTGCCTTTTTTCAGTGGCTCTGTCTAGCTTTCGGCCTCCGGGGCCTCGTCAGGACAGCTCTTGACTGAGATGGCCAAGGCACGAAGTCCGCAAGTCTGCATGCGACACGTGCGATAGGCGAGTAGCCACACGTGCAAATGACTATCAACAATCCCCCTGTGCCCGCCTCCATCCGCCCCGCCCCCGCCTCCGCGGGCCGCCGTGCCGCGCCCCACCCCCAGGGCGTGCGCCGAGCACGAGAGCGCCGCGAGCGGCGCGGCCGCCGCGAGCCACGGCAAGGCCCAGAGGGTGCTCGCGCGGATGCAGTGCGACTGGGTCGCCGGCAGGGCGGGGGGGGGCGGCATCGGAGGGGAGGGGAGGGCCGAACAGTGGGAGGAGGAGGAGGAGGAGGAGGAGGAGGAGGAGGAGGAGGAGGAGGAGGAGGAGGCGGAGGAGGAGGCGGAGGAGGAGGAGGAGGAGGAGGAGGAGGAGGAGGAGGCGGAGGAGGCGGAGGCCTGGCCTTCCGCGAGCCTGGCGGGTCTCGGCCGCTGCGGCCGTGGCCTCCGCCGCCGCCGCCGCCGCCGCGTCGTGGCGCCTCGCTCGGCTGCGCGGCAGGCGCGGCTCTGTGGGCCGTTGCGGTGGCGGGGGGCTGGCCACGGCGAGGCCCCGAGGGGGATGCCTGCGCGGACGCTGGGCGACTGGGCCGCCGGGAGGGCCGAGGGCACCCCCGGGGCGAGAGGGCCTCCGAAGGCCCACGACGGCGCCCGGCCCCCCAAGCGGAGCGGCGCGGCGCCCCGCCAGGGTCCCGCGCCCCACGCCCGCTCGGCGCGAGTTGATGTGCGCGTGCGTGGCCTCGCAGCGCCAGGGCCTGCCGTCGCCAGCACCGCCGGCCATCGCGCGCGGCCCCACTCTCCTCCTCTGCCTCCTCTTCGTCCTTTCTGTCATCCTCCCCCTCTTCGTCCTCATCTTCCTCCTCCTCCTTCCTCCTCCTCCTCCTCCTCCTCCTCCTCCCTCCCTCCCTCCCCCTCCTCCCTCCGTCCCTCCCTCCTCCTCCCTCCTCTCCTCCTCCTCCTCCGCCTCCTCCTCCTCCCTCCTTCTCCTCCTTCTCCTCCTCCTCCTCCTCCTCCTTTTGGTCTTGACTGTGTGCGTCGGGTCGCCGCGAATGTAAGTAGATTGGAGGGTGCTGCCGCCTGCGTGTATGGGTTGCCGCAGGATAAGCAGTTAGACCTCCTGGTGATGATTGGGTCGAAGAGCGCTCCTGATCTAAGTTGCATTTTGTCCGTTTCGGATCTGGCCGTTCTAGCAGCCCAACAGTTTTGTAGTGGGCGTCTCTGACCTCAGGAGTACCTTCGTTCTGGGCGCCTGGAGACGTTCGAGCCCCCCCCAACTGCCAAGCATCGCCATACTTGTGCACTTGAGAAACCTGAGCCAACTTTTTGTTGTCGACGTGCGAGGTGGCAGGTAGGGCGCGACACGCGAGCTGGTTGGGGTCAACTGGAACGATGCTCGGGCACTCAGCGGGCGGCCGGGGCGCTGGCCGCGATGGCGGAGTAGTGTCCCGTCGGCAAGGGCGGGCTGGGGGACGGGCGGCTTGGCTGTTCTCGAGTGCGGTGGGGGCCGCATCTGGGGACATGTCGGTCGTGGGAGCCTGTCGCCCCGGCGCTGTGGCTATGGCGCCGGCCAGTGCACGGCCCCAGGAGTCGCGGAGCTTGGCCGACCTGGGCGCAACCCTCCACAGCTTGGAGCAGCTCGCGGAGGAGGCGTCGGTCCTCGCAGACGCTAAGGCGAAGGCCGGGCTGGCGCAGGTCGAGGCCGCGGTGCGCGCGCTGGAGAAGGCGCTGGACTCCCAGGACCTGTCCGCCCTGACGGAGCTGGAGAGACAGGCCGGGCGCGGGCTGACTTCCGTCGAGACTCTGCGCGCGGAGCGGAAGCGGCTGCTGGCGGGCACGGAGGCTTTGCTGGACAGGATCTAGGCTAGCTTCAGGGCGGCCCGCGTCGTGGCCTCGTCCCCGCCGGAGGCGCGCCCGGAGCGCGCTCGAGGGCGTCGGCAGGAGATCGCGCAGCGGTCAGGGCCAGCGCGGCAGCTGTCCAGCGCCTTTGGATCTGAGAAGTGCGGCGAGTGCCCCTGCTGCCCGGCGGGCTCGCCCGGCGCCGCACGACACCTGGCACCTCGCTCGCCGCCAGAGCATAGAGGAGGCCAGGAGGAGGCGGCCAAGAGCAGAGAGGAGGAGGGGAGGAGGAGGAGGAGGAGGAGGAGGAGGAGGAGGAGGAGGAGGAGGAGGCGGCGGCGGCCGAAAGGCGGCATAGAGCACGAGGAGGAGGAGGAGGCTGAGGACGAGGCCGAGGACAAGGAGGCCGAGGAGGCGGCTGAGGAGGCGGCTGCCGCGCGACCTGCCCGTTTCCCCCCAAGGTGCCGCTCCGTCTGGGCCGCGGTGCTTTGGGTCGCCCACGCGGTGCCGGCGCCAGATGCCCTGCTCAGGCTCTCGTCGTCGAGTGGCATTCCCAGGACTGGCAGTACCACGGCAGAGAGCAGCACGACATGGACATCCACCGAGCTTGTGCACAGGATTGCGCACAACGCTAGTTTGGCAGCACGACAGAGACAAGCAGGACGACTTTGACACCCACGAGTGGGACGACTATTCGGACGAGCACCATCCGTCCGACCAGCACGACGGCGACGAGCACCAGGCCGACTGGCGGCACGATGGGGCCCGACAGCACAACTTCGACACCCACGACTGGGACGACCAGTGCGGCATGCAGAGGACCCCGCTGCAACAGTTCAGGGGCCAGTACCACGACCATGACACCCACGAGGGGGACGAGGACGAGTCCCACGAAACCGAGGGCCACGAAAGCGACCTGCAGCAGATCGACGGGCAGCACGACGGAGAGCAACAGCACTTCCTGGACATCCACGACTGGGACAATCATGATAATAGCGCCTGCGCATACGACGGCAGCAACGCCATCGCCCGCGCCAGCACTGTCTCCAGCACCAATGCCGGCGCCTATGCCAGCACCAACGCCAGTACCAACACCAGCACCGACTCCAGCTGCATCGCAGGGCTCCCTCCAGGGGCAAAAGACCACGGGGAAGATGAAGATAACCGATTCGGACAGAATGGCCCGCCTGGTGAAAGGCGCGCCCTCGTTGGTGGAGAGGGGCCTTCGTCTTCGATGTCCCAGGACGGTCGGGCGGGATCCGAGCCGACCAAGTTGTTTCAACAGATGTCAGTACAGGTCGGCCCGCCTGGTGAAAGGGGCGCCTTCGCTGGTGGAGAGGGGCCTTCGTCTCCGGCATCCCCACTTGCTTCAAAAACGTCCCTCGTCGCCACGGCCAGATTCGCCTCGGGACTTAGATGGGGCCAACCCCGCACGAGACGTCCGCAGCGACGGAGTCGAGCAGTACGTTGGCAACCAGCTCTGCGGAACCAAGCTCTACTACCGCGTCTGCCACGACGGAGTCGAGCAGCATATCGGATGGGGGCCAGCGCCGAGTCCAGCGACGACGCAAGCTACGACTCCAGCTCTGGCAGCATTGACGCCAGCTGCGACGCCAGCGCCGACGCCAGCCACGACGCCAGCTACGACGTCAGCGCCAACGCCAGCCACGACGCCAGCTACGACTCCAGCTCTGGCGCCACCGACGCCAGCTACGGCGCCAGCACCGACGCTGGCTCTGGAGCCTCCGCCAGCGCCGACTCCAGCTACGACGCCAGCTACGACGCCAGCGCCGACTCCGAATTCAACGTCGGCTACGACCCTAGCTCCAGTAGCACCGTCGACAGCTACGATGCCAGCGCCGACCCCAGCGCGTACGACTGCACCAATGCCGGCGCCTATGCTGGCACCAACGCCAGCGCCTGCAGCAACACCGACGCCAGCACCAACGTCCGCGCCTATGCCGGCTCCAACGCCAGCGCCTGCACCAACCAACACCGACGCCAGCACCGACGACAGCGCTGACGCTGGCACCAACGTTGGAGCCTTCACCAGCATCGACGCCAGCACCGACGCCAGCGCCTACGCCGGCACCATCGTCAGCGCATACTCCAGCACCGACGCCAGCAATTAGGCCAGCTCTCACGCCAGCGCCTGCTCCGGCACCACTCTGGCGCCGCCACCATCACCCACGCCAGCACCAACGCCTGCGCCTACGCCAGCACCTACGCCAGCGTCCACACCCGCACCGACGCCAGCACCGACGCCGGCGCCATCGCCAGCACGAACCCCAGCGCCTACGCCTGCACCGACGCCAGCGCCTACGACGGCACCAACGCCAGCGCCTGCAGCAACACCGACGCCAGCACCTGCGCTGGCACCAACGCTGGCGCCTACACCAGCACCGACGCCTGCGCCAACGTCCGCGCCTACGCCGGCACCAACTCCAGCGCCTGCTCCAGCACCGACGCCAGCACCGATGTCGGCGCCTACACTGGCACCAACGTGGGCGCCCGCACCAGTGCCGACGCTAACGCCAACGTCCGCGCCGACGCCGCCTTTGCCGGCACCGTCGCCACCGCTTACACCAACGATGAAACCTTCACCGACGCCAGCTCTCACACCAGGGCCTGCACGGGCACCGGCGCCAGCGACTGCATCAGTACCGACGCCAGCACCAGTGCCTGCGCCTGATTACGCCAGCACCAACGACAGCGTCTGCACGAGAACCGACTCCGGCACCGATGTCAGCACCGACGCCAGCGCCTGCGCCGGTACCAACGCCAGCGCCTGCACCAGCACCACTGCCAGCACTGACGCCAGCGCCTACGCCGGCACCAATAGCGCCTACACCTTCGCCGACACTAGCACCAAGGCCAGCGCCGACGCCAGCACCAACGCTGGTGCCAGAACCGAAGCCAGTATCGACGCCAGCACCAACGCTAGCGCGTGCGCTGGCATCAACGCTAGCGTCTACACCAGCTCCGACGCCATCTCCAAAGCCTGCGCCTACGCTGGCACAAACGCCAGCGCCTACACCAGCACCGACGCCATCACCGTGGTCAGCTCTCACGCCGGCGCCGGCTCCGGCACCGACGCCAGCGCCTTCACCAGCACTGACGCCAGCACCGACGCATGCTCCTACGCCAGCACCAACGCCAGCGTCTAGACCAGCACCGACGCCAGCACAGACGCTGGCACCGACGCCAGCATCGACCCCAGCGTCTTTGCCCACGCCAACGCCATCGCCTACGCCAGCACCTACGCCAGTGTAGCAGCACCGACGCCAGCACCGACGAAAACTCCGACGCCAGGGCTTACGCTGGCACCAACGCGGGCGCCTACACCAGCACCGGCGCCAGCGCCTACGCCGGCACCGTCGTCAGCGCCCACGCCAGCACCGACGCCAGCACCGTGGCCAGCCTGCGCCCGCAGCACCTGCAGGAAACGCTGGCGACAGCAGTCCACCGGGACGAGGTCGTCGAGCAGCTCGCGGATCTCGTTAAATTGCTCGCGCGCGGCCAGGCGCCGCCGGTGGTCGTGGCATACCTTGCTGGTGCCTCGCTGGTGACTCCCGAAGAAGGACGGCGGCCTGCGCCCGGTGGCCGTCTCCGCCGCCTGGTGGGCAAGTGCTTCTGCAAGGAGGTTGCCGAGGCTGCCCGCGACCGCCTGGCGCCCCTCCAGGTCGGCGTGGCTGTGCCGGGAGGCGCGGAGGCGGCCGTCCACGGGGCCAGGCAGTGGTTCGCGCGCGACCAGGGCGACAGGGACAAAGCCTTCGTGAAGCTGGACCTCTCGAGCGCGTTCAACACTTTGGACCGGAGAGCTGTCCTAAGAGCTGTGCGCGAGGATTTTCCAGCGCTGGCACCGTGGGCGGACTGGTGCCACGGCAGCCCCTCGCATCTTTTCCTCGGCAAGCAGACGATTCGTTCCGAGTGCGGAGTTCAGCAGGGCGACCCGCTGGGCCCGTTGCTTGTTTCCCTGGCACTCCAACGCTGCGCGGAGACGGCGCGCCGCAGCCTCGGGGAGCTCGCGCAGGACGCTGGCCTGGACCTCGTCTTCTTCTACTTGGATGACGGCTGCGTGGCGGGCGACAGACAGGCCGTGGCCCGCTTCCTGCGCCTCGTCGTGGCCGAGCTCGCAGCAGTTGGCCTCGACCTCAGCACGGAGCAGGGCAAGTGCGAGGTGGTTCCTACGGCGGGGGCAGACAGCAACGTGTCCGCGACCGACTTCCCGCGCGGCTTCCGACTGCGCCACGACGGCTGCTTCGAGCTCCTCGGCGCGCCTATCGGGAGCGACGAGTTCTGCCGCCATCGCGCGCAGAGACGGGACAACAAGGCAGCGGAACTCCTGGACGCGCTGGCTGGCTTGGAAAACGCGCAGGTTGCTCTGCACCTTCTCAGGCAGTGCTCCTCCTACTGCAAGCTCGGCTGCTCAGCGCGCGTTGTGCCACCCTCTGCCAGAGGAGGAGGAGGAGGAGGAGGAGGAGGAGGAGGAGGAGGAGGAGGAGGTGGAGGAGGAGGAGGAGGAGGAGGAGGAGGAGGAGGAGGAGGAGGCGAGAGGTGAGGAAGACGGCGGCAAGGAGAGGCGCGGCAGGGATGCGACTGGCCGTGCTGCAGGAGCGCGGCCGCGAGGCCAGGAGGCGGCGGCGCCCCCAGGCGTTGGGGGTGTCCCCGAGGCGGCCCAGAGGAGGGAACCAGAGGAGGCGGAGGAGGGCGAGGCAGAGACGAGGGTGAGGGAGCGCAGAAGGGCGAGGACGCGGAGGAGGCAGAGGCCGACGCAGGAGGAGGCCCAGGACACGGGAGGAGGACAGGGACGAGGACAAAAACGAACAACGGGAAGTTCGTCATCCTGGGTGGTGTCATGAGTAAGACCCGCCAGAGGAAACCGACCAAAGCCGGGAAACGCGAGATCTTCGTCAAAGTCGCCGCGGTGAAGGCGAAGCCGGTCAAGACTTTCGTCACGGTTTTCCCGGCGAAGGCAGTCAAGGACGAGTTTTTGTTGAGGACCTCCCGGTCTGTGGCGAGCGCGCACCCGAGGGCCCTGGGTGATCCCAGTTGCCCAAGCTCAGCGACAACAGCTCGGAGGAAAATGCCTGAATTTGTTGATGCCATTATTCCCTACCTAGGCTTTGCCTAGAAGTGTTCTTACTCTCTTAGCTTAAAGGGGCCGGGCAGTGCAAAGCGCCCCGGGCGGTTCCCCCAGCCCCCTGGGAGCGGTTCCCCCCAGTCCCCTGGGAGCTTTAGCTTTAGCTTTAACTAGCTTTAGCTTTAGCTTTAGCTTAGCTTTAGCTTAGCTTTAGCTTAGCTTTAGCTCAGCGTTTCGCTTAGCGTTTCGTTTAGCGTTTCGCTTAGCGTTTAGCTTAGCTTTAGCTTAGCTTTAGCTTAGCTTGAGCTTAGCTTGAGCTTAGCTTGAGCTTAGCTGTAGCTTAGCTGTAGCTTAGCTGTAGCTTAGCTCTAGCTTAGCTTTAGCTTAGCTGTAGCTTAGCTGTAGCTTAGCTGTATCCTAGCTTTAGCTTAGCTGCTGCTCAGCTTTAGCTTAGCGCTAGCTTAACTTTAGCTTTAGCGTAGCTTTAGCTTAACTTTAGCTTAGCTTTATCTTAGCTGTGGCTTAGCTTTAGCTTAGCTTTAGCTTAGCTTTAGCTTAGCGTTGCTGTTACTACTAATGCTGCTTTCCTAGGGGTTCTAACTCCTAGGTGGGGTCGCACTGGGATATTTTTTCTCAGCCAGAGGAACTGACAGGTGCCGAGTGATTTTGTTGTCGATTGTGGCGCAGTCTGACTCGTGTTCCTGATGAGCCCGCCGCCGCCGCCGCTGCCTCCTCCACCTCTTCCTCCTCCTGCTCCTGCTCCTTCTCCTCCTCCTCCTCCTCCTCCTCCTCGTCGTCCTCCTCCTCCTCCTCGTCCTCCGCCTCCTCCTCCTCCTCGTGGGGCCTCGTCGTCGGGGGAGGAGGGGTGGAGCGGACGCTCGAATCTGAATTCGAAGTGTGTGGGGCCGTCTTCCAATCCCGCCACCAGGGCCAACCAGAAGAGGAAGGCCGACCTGGTGGAGCGGGGCTTTCACCCCAAGACGGGGGCCCCACTGCCCCCCCGCGCCTGAACTCGTTCGGCTTTACTTTCTGACGCTTCGCCTCCCACTCCCGCCTTAAGTAGCTAGGGGTTTCTTGTTTCCAGGTTTTTCGGTTTCTTGGGGAACTCCTGCAGGCTGCTCGCGCCTCCTCCTCCTCCTCCTCCTCCTCCTCCCCTCCTCCTCCCTCCTCCTCCTCCTCCCTCTCTCCTCCTCCTCCTCCTCCTCCTCCTCCTCCTTCCTATCCTTATTCCTTATTAGAATATACTCCTACTCCCCCCTCAGGCCGGCAGATAGGGGCCCCATCCGGGTGGTCCCATCCTAACCTGTAAAAAACAATACAAAATCAACATTTTTCTTATTTTGTCCTCTCGACATGGACGTCCTGTCGTCCACGGCGATAATCCATTGCAAAAAATACCACAAAGAACACACGCGCGCGTTCATGTCAGAATCCTACCGAACACCGTGTGTTTGCAAGCATTTCAACATAAAAGCATCAAAAACCCAGTGCCTTTTTCACAAACATTCTACACAATTTCCTGCCCGGGCTCTCTTGCTGAAATCATAGGAAAACCATAGGAATCTTAAGAATTCTGTCAAATCCAGCGATTTCACGTCATCGCGCGGTGCACTCGCGATGCTCTGTCATGCACCCAGGCCGCGAATCCTGTGCAAAAAATACCACGCGGGCGACATGCGCGCGCGTCGCCGCGAGCGCATGCTCAAATCCTTCTAGAGTCGTCGCCGTCATTGGCACCGTCGCATGGACGTCCTGTCGTCCACGTCGCAAAATGCATGGCAGGAATGGGACCCGGCTTACCGGGCCGTTCTCGACACGGCCACCTCTGGCTTCCTGCGGTGTACCGGGCCATTCTCGACTCGTCTGGCAATGCGTGCGCGGCATTCAACACGCGCTCGCCAGTTCCCGTCGGCAACCGCCATCGCGGCCGCATCAGCTGTACCAAACCGGCTGGCCGGTGTGACTTCGGCCCCCAGTTGTGCCAGCTTTGCTTCTTATGTTGTGGGAGGGCGGGTGGGACTGGGCATGCCATGCTTGACTCGCTCGAGCTGGCTAGCTTGACTCCTACTCCTACTCCTACTCCTCCTCCTCCTCCTCCTCCTCCTCCTCCTCGACTCTTTGCCCTTCACCTCCAGGTCTCCGAGGACCCCGGCCAGAACCAGCTCAGCGCGTGCCGCGGGACGCTGGTGTGGCTGTGGCCCAGCACGAAGACGGAGGCCGGGCATACCCTGCGAGTGGGAGCAGGGAGGAGGACGAGGAGGAGGCGGAGGAGGAGGTGGCGGAGGAGGGAGGAGGAGAAGGCGGAGGAGGTGGCGGAGGAGGGGGAGGGCAGCAGCAGGGACTCCCGCGCTTTGGACTCGAGCGGCGGGCGAGGCCGTCCACGGAAGGTGGCGAGCCTGCTCGCGGACACGCCTTCTGGCCGCTCCGGAGGTAGCCTCAGGGAGTGGTGGCCCCTGTTCCGGAGCTTCCAGGGCCGTGGGGGAGAGAGGAGCAGGAGCAGGGGGATGACGGGGAGCAGCAGCAGGAAGAGGGGAGGGCGAAGAAGGCGGATGATGAGGCGGAGGGGAGGAGGAGTAGGGAAGAGGGAGGAGGAGGTGGAAGGAGGAGGAGGAGGAGGAGGAGGAAATGGAGGAGGAGGAGGCGGAGTCCGCGGAACGTGAGGGCCAGGCCCTGGCGGATAAACGTGGCTGGCGCCTTGCCTAGGCGTTGCCCAGCTGGCAGCTCCCCACCTCCCACTTCGTTACCACAACATCGCGACGTTGCTGTTGCTTCTGCTTCTGTTTATGTATGAGTGCCTGTTTCGGCTTGCGGAAACCCTGGCCAGGCGGACCGTCAAAGCGCGATGTATAGTCGTAGACGTGAATACCCCAACAGGCCCCTCCTCGCCCGTGCGTGTAAATGCTGACCCTCCGCAACTGCGGTGGCTCAAAGTCTGAGAGGCCCCCAGCCGCGGCGGCCCCTGCATGGACGGAGGGGCGCCTCCGCTGTGGGCGACACTGCTCACGGCCTGGGGGGCGACCTGGAGCGCCTGCTGGAGTTGGGGCTGGGGCGGAGTCTCCACCCAGGCGGCCCTCGCGGCGCCGTTCGCGACCTCCGGCCACTACCAGGAGGATTCTGAGCGCTGCTCCTGCGACTGGGAGCTGCGCAAGATCATCGACCTCCAGCAGGAGGTCGGCCTCCTCCAGTCGGAGGTGTGGGCGCTGCGGTGCCTGTTGTTGGCCGGGCTCCTGCTGCTCGGCGCCGTGGCCTCTGGTGCTGGCACGCTGGGCTTCCTGGTGGGGGCCTGCCGGCGCTGTCGCTGCGGCGGGCGAGAGCGCACGCCGAGCCGGGCGGCCGAGCCCGGCGCCCAACCGGCCGCGGCCTCGAGGGCGGCGGCGGTGGAAGGGCTGACGTGCCCGCAGCCGGGCCGAGGGCCCTCGACGCCGAGCCGCAGGCAGCTGTAGCCCGATGGCGGATGTGCTGACGCTGGACATCGGCGACCCGCAGATCCTGGTCCACTACCCAGATGACGAGAACGGCTTCCTCTGGCACCACAGAGTGCTGCTCTTCAGGGTGTCGGACGACATCTGGATCAGCTTGACCCCTGACCTCGCGCTGGTGCGCCTGAAGCTGCTGGACATCCGGCACGAGGTGCTGGAGAGGCGAGCCCCGTTCCCGGCCCACCTGGGCCACCAGGTCTATGCCCACGACCCCATCGCCGCCGCCGCCCTGGCGGGCTTCCGCCGCCGTGCGAAGATCCAGGGGCAGCTGCTGGGCGTGGGCCAGGTCGACGTGGTCGAGAGGATGATCTGGGTGGTGGCCGAGCCCCGGTCGGCGAGGTTCGGCGAGGTGATCGACTCGGCCATCATGGACGACGACGCCCGCGGCACGGGCTTCGACACGAAGGGGGTGGCGGTCGTGGACGGGGAGGAGATCTTCGTGCAGAAGATCGCGGCCAGCAAGCTCGACGACTTCAAGAAGGAGACCAAGGCGGACCTCGGGGACGTGCGCACTCTCGGGGACCACCTCGACGATGCTGGGCAGCGCTGTCTGAGGCTCTCGGAGGCGGTCGCGCTGATGAGAGACACGGATCAGCCGAACTTCCCGCTCGCCGGCGTGAGGAGCGTGAAGGAGTTCCTCGAGTCGGTGGCCTCGGGGCCCGGCAACATGACGTCGTACCAGGCGGAGTGGGAGCGGCTCAGCGGGGTCGGTGAGGGTTCGGCAGTCAACCATGTGCACCGCAACCTGTGCGAGGTGATTCGGCTCATGCGCTCCTGGGATCAGGTCGACGCCTCCATGCTGGCCTCTGCGGAGCTGATCGTGCGCTGGCTGGTTCAGACGGAGATAGCGGTAGAGCGCAACCCGCGCCACCCGGACTACAGCGGGCTGGACATAGTGATCTCGGCCCCGGTGAATGCAGCGGGCCGCGCGACGACGAACAAGTTCAACTCCTGGGTCACGGACAAGCTCAAGGAGAGGGCGCAGATCTGGAAGCAGGAGCGCCTGTACCGGGAGGAGCAGAAGACGAACCTGAAGGAGGGCAAGGGCGGCGACGGCTACGACCCGTCCAAGAAGAAGCTGAAGAAGAGAGGGGGCAAGGCCGGCGCCGAGGGCGCCGGCGAGGGAGGATGACGCCTCTCGGGGCTGTGGGGGAGCCGGCGCTGGCAGCCCGGGCGCCGAGAGAGCCCCCCCACGGCCGACACAGACGTGGGCTAGCCCCCTCTATTCCTGGAGGGATCCGGTCACGAGATCGACGGCATGGAGACCCTTTTCCTCTGCCCTGCGATCCGAGTGGCCTCGGCTCTGCATGCAGCTCTGCGCGGCAACGGCAAGTTTTTGACACGGTTCGGGCCCTGAACCAGCTTGCCGCCGCCAACGTGAATTCACGTCGCGCCCAGGGGCACGACCGCGCACCAGAAGGGCACCTCCGGCCGACCGCCGTGCAGCAGTGGATGATCCAGAATGTCGCCCGGCGTGTACTGGCGTATGGGGATTGCCCCACTGACCTCACAGAGGAGTCATCGTTGCACGAGATCCTCGACTCAAGAGACCACTACGGGATGGAGCCCAAGAACTTGGCCAGCTTCGACTTCGACAAGGTCAAGATCCTGCACAGGAAGGTCCACGTTCGGCCGATACGCCGGGAGTTGCCCGCGTCGGCCGCTGGCTACCTTCGGCACGCTTCCGACTTGATCGAGATGGACGAAGCGGAGCTTGAGAGAGATCGAGCCGAGGGAGTGGGCGTCACGCCGTACTGGGACCCCCTCCTCCGGCGCTCGCGAGACCTTCGGAAGCGACTGTACCAGCGCCTGGACCAGCAGGGCCTGCTGACTTGGCGTCGGCGGCTGAAGGGGCATGCGGGCATCTTCGTGGTCAAGAAAAAGGATGGGCTCCAGAGGTTGATCATCGACGCCCGAGCGGCCAATCGGGCGCATCGGCCACCTCCCACTACTCGGCTAGGCTCCTCGCGATGCATGGCCGACCTCGACCTCTCCGATCCCCGCCTGAAGGCATCGGGCTTCGGGGGCCTCGGCTCCGGGGCCTTCAGCCCAGCTGGCCGCGAGGGGGGCGTCGGAGACTGTTTCTACAACTTCACCATCCCCGAGCTGGCGAGCTGGTTCGGCTTCGCAGACCGGTTCGACACCCGCGAGCTAACGGAGATGGGCTGCCTGCCGGGCTCGATCTGGGACGACGCCGAGGGGGCCGAGACCAAGGTCGTGGACGGCGAGCAGCTCTACCCCTGCATGTGCGCGGTGTGCATGGGCTGGTCCTGGGCGCTCTACTTCGCCAACGAGGCCGTGACCTACCGAGTCCAGCGGACGCTGCCCGACGGGGCCGAGAAGGTGATGAGGGAGATGCAGCCTGCCCCGACCATCGAGCCCGGCAAGTGCGTCGCCGGTGTGTACGTGGACAACGTGCAGGTGATCGGGGGCTGCGAGGCTGACGCCAACACTCAGATGCATAAAATCGAGAATCTCTTTCGGGAGGACCGCGTACCTTTCGACGTGGAGCCGGGGAACAGCTTGGAGATGCAGCCCCTCGGCCTGGTGTACCACTGGCAGGGGCGTCGCCTGAGGCACGTGGCTCGGCGCGTCTGGCGGACCTATATGGCCGGACACGCCCTTTTGAGGCGCCGCAAGCTCCACGGGCACACGCTCCAGTGCTGGCTGGGGCACGTCGTGAACCTTAACCAGCTCTGCCCCGAGGCGATGTCCGCGCTGAACGCCTGCTACCGCTTCATCGAGGAGTCGCTGGAGTCGCCCAAGCGGGTCTGGCCCTCCGTAAAGTCCGAGATCCGCTGCTCGATGAACTTGCTCTTCCTGATGGAGGCGGACTTGGGCGCGACCTACTCGGACCAGGTGTACTGCGGGGACTCGTCCGGCCGCGGCTACGCACTCCACGTGACGACCGCCGAGCCGACCGAGCTCCGAGAAGCCTGGAAGTGGAGAGAACGCTGGCGGTACCGCGACGTCCCGACGGTGACAGGCCACGTCAGCAGCGTGCTCGACTACGTGCGCGGCGGCACGCCCGGCACCGCCTCTGGTCCGAGGACCGCCTTCGGCCAGTCCCTGCTGAGTCAGGCGGAGGCGCCGGAGGAGGCGAGCGGCCTGGCTCCCTCTCCGGCCCGAAGCCGCGCTGTGAAGCCGGCTCGAGGCCGCACCCAGCTGCATCTTGACTCGGGCATCCCCGCCTTGGGGGACAGCTGGGTGGCCAGGCGCCGCTACAAGCTGGTCGCCGCGGTCGACCGCTGGCGCTGGCAGGACGAGCACATCAACCTCAAGGAGGCGAGGGTCGCCTTGATGGGGCTCCGACGGCACTGCCGATCGGTGAAGTTCATGGGCACAAAGCTGCTCTCGATCAGCGACAGCCAGGTCACCGTCGGGGCCTTCGAGAAGGGCCGCTCCAGCGCGGGCCTGCAGGCCCTCTGCAGGCGCGCAGCCGCCTACCGCCTAGGGGGGCAGATCTCCTGGCGGCTCAGGTACATCGAGACTGACCGTAACCCGAGTGACGAGGACTCCCGGCGCTGGGACCTGAAGAAGCCGGCTGGGCTGAACCGGGGGCCCGAGCGTCGGGGCGCCGCCCCGAGCCTGTCCGCTCCAGCTGCGAGTTACACGACCTCCTCCTCTTCTCGGTCACCTCCGTCGGCATCCTCAGCATCTGTTGTACGCCCGTCAATTCAGAGCGAGCCTGGTAAATCAGTTTTTTGTATGGAGCTCTTCGGCGGAAAGGGGGAGCTGACTCGAGCCTGCCTGGCGGAGGGGCTTCCCTTCGCGGATTCAGTTGATATCAGAGACGGCTGGGAATTTGATCTCTCGCGTCGCTGTACACAAGAGTATATCCTGAGGCTGGCCCGAGAAGGGCGTTTGATATATGTACACCTGGGAACGCCTTGTCAGGTTTGGAGTATCGCTCGGAGGGGGATCCGAAACCATGTTCGAGCCAGGGCCCGGGAACGTCTAGGCATCGAGTTCGCACTGTTTACGGCTACGTTATGTCACATCTTATCACGTCGTGGGTGTTATTGGAGTGTGGAAAACCCCCGGACTTCGAGACTCTGGAGCTTCGACCCGATCGCTCGCCTTCATGGACTCGCGGACGTCGTCGAGGTAAACTTCGATATGAGCATGTATGGCACGGCCTATCGGAAACCTACCCGAATCCTGACAAACCTGAGAGCGTTACAGTCCCTGGGAGATCGACCTCGCATCCGACATAAACACTCGGTCTTGCTACACGGCCATCTCACACCACTTGCCGCCGCCTACCCGCCGGCTTTGGGCTCGTGTTGGGCCAGGCTCCTTTCTTCGGCCTTGCCGGGCGACATGCGCCCGGGCCAGCGAGCCTTCGACCCCAGCGAGGTCCGCCATGGCCTCCGTCGGGCCGCGGGCCGTCGCCCTGCGGCTCGAGGAGCATCGGTTCACGGTGAGGTCGACGAACCCCGTGAGCCAGCCTGCCAGGCCGCCGACTCGTTCCTCGAGCACGACCCGATCATCCAGTTCGGCCAGGACGAGCGGCCCCGGCGCTGGAGGGCCCACCCGGACTGGGCGGCAGCCGCCACTGGGGAAGGGCCGACCGCGGCAGCCCACAGGCCCCCGGCGGGCAGGCCCCATCACCGTCCCGCGGAGGGACTCGCTGATCATGGCGACGGTGACCGGTGGCACGCTGGAGAGGTACGCGACGGCAGTCCACGAGTTCGAGACCTACGCGAAGGAGAGGCGCCTGCCGCTGCAGCCGCTAGCACGCCTGGACGACAGCCTCTCCCTCTACTTCGTGGACCTGTTCGACGACGGCTTCGGGGTCTGGGAGGGGCGCAACGCCTTCTACGGGCACAAGCTGCTGAGGCTCCGGACGACGGGCAAGGTCGACCTCCCGAAGGCGCTGGCCTCCCTGAAGGGTTGGACGAAGCGGGCGCCCGGGAGGATGCGTCTGCCGCTGCCCGACATCATCGTGGACGACATCGCGCTGGACCTGGTGGAGCACGGGAACCCCCTGATGGGGGCCGCGGTGGTGATCCAGACAGACACCTACACGCGGCCCTCCGAGGTGGTGGGCCTGAGGCAGGGCCAGATCTTGCCGCCGGCGCCGGTCGCGAAGCTCGGCGCGCACTATGGCATCGTCATCGCGCCCTCGGAGTGGCACGAGACCACGAAGACGGGCGGTCAGGACGACAGCCTGCTCGTGGGCGACGTGGCGAGGCCCTGGCTCACGAGCGTGCTGCGGCTGCTCCACAAGCCCAACGTGTCGGACAAGAAGAAGATCTTCGACTTCACCCTCGGCGACTACGAGCGCGAGGTGAAGAAGTCGGCCGGCCGCCTGGGCTACACCTCCCTGGGCGTGTGCCCGCACGTCTTCCGGCACTCAGGCGCCAGCAACGACAAAGCGCACTCCCGGAGGACGTTGAAAGAGGTTCAGAAGCGCGGGCGATGGGCATCGTCCGCGTCGGTGGCTCGCTACGAAAAGGGTGCCCTGATCTTGCAGCAGTTGCGCAAGGTTCCCTTGGCCAAACAGAGGAAGGCGGCGGAGCGCAGCAGGCGCCTGCCGCAGGTCCTCCTTCAGAAGATTCGTGAAAAGTAGCGGCCACCAGTTCATGATATGGGTATGGGCGAAAGAGGGGCCGTCCAAGATGACAGCCCGACGATGTTTGACAAATTATCTCGTCTCAGGCCTGAGCTTCGATTGGATTACCTTGTCAGAGAGTGCGCGTGAAAGGTGATCCAAACTATATCGCACAGCTTCGCTGGATATGCATGTCTGGGCGAGGTTTTTAGGCCATCTAGGGGTGTGTATAGTCGTAGACGTGAATACCCCAACAGGCCCCTCCTCGCCCGTGCGTGTAAATGCTGACCCTCCGCAACTGCGGTGGCTCAAAGTCTGCCCACCCTCAGCCACCCTCGAGCTCGGCATGCCTCGCTCGTAATTCATTGCTTTTTCCGCTGGGCGAAAGAGGGGCCGTCCAAGATGACAGCCCGACGATGTTCGACAAATTATCTCGTTTCAGGCCTGAGCTTCGATTGGATTACCTTGTCAGAGAGTGCGCGTGAAAGGTGATCCAAACTATATCGCACAGCTTCGCTGGATATGCATGTCTGGGCGAGGTTTTTAGGCCATCTAGGGGTGTGGTTGTTCGTCCT